AGCAGCCCGTTTTATTTCTGCCTGTGTCCCCGCTGGGGAGATTCACTCTTACTTCCTATCCTACCTTAGACACTAAATGAGTAAATCAACCAATCTCTGGTAGTTGTGTCATCGTAGAGATTTTGGACTGGTTGCTATGGGTTACTGCACTTTGTAGTGTGTTCAGGAATATGTTTTTTTTTTCTTTTGCAGATAAAACGCACACCGAGCTGTCTAGCTTCTGTCTGGCATGTCCGGGATTAGGAAATGCCCCCTGACCCGCCTGCTTCCTCATTCACAGGATCCTATTAATAGGAACAGAGGCAGACACTTCCCGAGCGGATGTTTATCAGAACACGCTGAGCCGCCACCGAGCTCTACAAGGCGCCCCAAGGTGCAAAGCAAAGCCAATGACTCGATCTGAGCGCTGGGCCGGCTAAAGTGCTGCGCAGACACTGCTAGGCCTCAGGTGCCAACAGCGGCCTCGTTGCCCTCGGGCAACCAATGTTATCAGACATGGCGGCCCACCGTGCACACACTTTGACTGGCTCAGTGTTCTCTGTACAGCGCTGCGGTATATGTCAGAGCTATATACATGTATAATAATAGTGTGTGACTGTGGAGTGGGACATTAGAGTGTAAGCTCCTCTGTACAGAGACTGATGTGACAGTGGGGGGAGGGGACATTAGAGCGTAAGCTCCTCTGTACAGAGACTGATGTGAATGTGGGGGAGGGGACATTAGAGTGGAAGCTCCTCTGTACAGAGACTGATGTGACTGTGGGGGAGGGGACATTAGAGTGTAAGCTCCTCTGTACAGAGACTGATGTGACTGTGGGGGGGGGGACATTAGAGTGTAAGCTCCTCTGTACAGGGACTGATGTGACTGTGGGGGGACATTAGAGTGTGAGCTCCTCTGTACAGAGACTGATGTGACTTTGAACACAGGACATTAGTTGCGGTGTTTCGGGGCTGCTCTCAATTACTACCATGACGCCTGGGGGGGGCACAGTGAACAGACCGGGCTTTTGGGCCTAGAAGCTGCAGGTAGCGCACCTCGGTGCACAGCAATGGCAAACCTTTGCCAAGCACTTGTGCGTACTGAGCTGTCCAATAGACGATTCATTAGGAGGCCTCAAGGTGCCCAAAGATGGCAGATATCAGTCAATATAACTGGAGGAGGTGACAATGTCTCTGGGTGACACTGCTGGGCGACGGACCTCAGTGATGGGGACAGGTCCGTCCCCCCCTTCCTCACCACCATCGTGATCAGGTACAGTCAGGGCACGGCTGGACAATGTCACCACTTTCCTGGTGCAAAAATTGCACCTTGATTTTTTTACC